GACAAAATCTCCTTTTTTTTTTTTTTTTTTTTTTTTTTTTTCCTTCTTATTACTGAATCACCTGAGGGATAAACCTCAGTTGTGCCATGAGTGGCCAGATCCTGAGACAGCAGGGAGAAGGTAGTGTTTTCTGACCAGGTCTTAAAAGTTGCACATTCTGGATAAGAAAAGCATGGTCAAGTCCATGGTCCGTCCACCATCAGGAGGAGAACTGGCCATCTAGGCAGAGCAAAAGAGGGTGTTCTGGAAGCAGAAGGCAACAGATCAGAAGGGAAACATGAAAAAGCTCACAAAGGGGCTGTTAAACCACCTGCTCAGGGAGCCTTTGTGGAGGCTATTGCTCCTCTTCCTCCTTACTCGCCTTCATTTCCACTGCTTCTGCTTTCAGGAGGGCTTATGCCACCCACCCCTGAACTAAGATGCTCATTGTTGGAGAACTGTGACAGAGACTGTGTTGGTGCTGAGTAAGCCTTTTTCATTAGTATTTGGCTAACGAGACTTTTTCTTAATATTGCACATGGCACCAGAGAAGCCCTTTCTCATTTTGTTCCTGGCCAGAAAGACACCTTTCAGTTGACGCAGCTTTACCCGGACACTGTATTTCCATTACGATACTACTTTGTCACAATAAATACACAGTCTCAAAGCAAGGTGCACCCTTCTGTTACGTTTGGGGTCTCATACAGCTCACTGCACATCTTCCCTCTGAGGCTACAGGTGGCACAATGGGTTGAAAAGCTCCTTCCTAGGGATGGCAGAAGATAAAGCACTTGGGATCTTAAGTCTAAGGGAGGTGAGAGCTTGCAGCAGCACAGATTTTGACTCCTGGAGTTACTGTGGGTATTTAAAGCACTAGGGTTGTTGTTATGCTAGACAGGTGAACAAGTAATGACATGCTGCAAAGGGTAGTGAGGTAATCATATGCTATAATAATGTTGCCAGGTAAGCTCACTCTGCAAGGGCTAGCTTTGATGTGTGTGAGCTATGTGAAACCTCTTGGTTTAGGGACTAGAGGTGACTTCCTAGGACATGCATATATAGCTGTAAAGAACTTCTCACTCTGTGTTTTCACAGTGTTTCAAGTTAGATTTCTCAAATTACTTGAAATTTTTCTAATCTTTTATGTGCTAGCCCAGCTATATATATCCTTGATCTCAGGACATGTTTTACATTTTGTGGTGGCTTGATCCTGGCTGGACACCAGGTGCCCACCAAAGCTGCTCTATCACTCCCCCTCCTCAGCTGGACAAGGGAGAGAATAATATAACAAAAGGCTTGTGGGTTGAGGTAAGGACAGGGAGAGATCACTCACCAATCACCATCATGGGAAAAAAAGACTCGACTTGGGGAAAATTAATTTATTACCAATCCAATCAGAGTAGGGTAATGAGAAATAAAACCAAATCTCAAAACACCTTCCCCCCACTCCTCCCTCCTTCCCAGGCTCAACTCCACTCCCAATTTTCTCTACCTCTTCACCACAGCAGCACAGGGGGACAGGGAATGGGGGTTGTGGTCATTTCATCACACATTGTTTCTGCTGGTCCATCTTCCTCAGGGGCAGGACTCCTCACACTCTTCCCCTGCTCCAGCGTGGGGTCCCTCCCACGGGAGACAGTCCTCCACTAACTTCTCCAATGCAAGTCCTTCCCACAGGCTGCAGTTCTTCACAAAGTGGTCCAGCATGGGTCCCTTCTGCAGGCTGCAGTCCTTCAGGCACAGACTGCTCCAGTGTAGGTCCCCCACAGGGTCACAAGTCCTAGCAAAAAACCTGCTCCAGCATGGGCTCCTCTCTCCATGGGGAAACAGGTCCTGCCAGGAGCCTGCTCCAGCACAGGCTTCCCACGGGGTCACAGCCTCCTTTGGGCACCCACCTGCTCCAGTGTGGGGTCCTCCACGGGCTACAGGTGGATATCTGCTCCACCATGGACCTCCCTGGGCTGCAGGGGGGACAGCCTGCCTCACCATGGTCTTCCCCACAGGCTGCAGGGGAATCTCTGCTCTGGCGCCTGGAGCATCTCCTCCCCCTCCTTCTGCACTGACCTTGGGGTCTGCAGGGTTGCTTCTCTCACATGTTCTCACTCCTCCCCCGCAGCTGCAGTTGCGCAGGGTTTTTTTTCCCCTTTTTAAGTATGCTATCCCAGAGGCGCTACCACCATCGCTGATGGGCTCCGGCCTTGGCCAGTGGCAGGTCCATCCTGGAGCCAGCTGGCATTGGCTCTGTCAGACATGGGGGAAGCTTCTGGCAGCTTCTCACAGAAACCACACCTGTAAACCCCCGCTACTAAAACCTTGCCATGCAAACCCAATACACATTTGCAGTCTAAAGAGCCAGTTATCCATCTCCCATTAGAATGATATACCTCCATGGCTAACAATAGTCCTAGCAGTATTTATAATTGGAGCGATATGTGGTACTATAGTGACATTAGAGAGAGGTATTGCTTCTCAAAGGCAGAAGGCATAAAATGGCATGTAAGAAACAGTAAACCAACAGCAATTTAAAAAGTCAGAGTATTTCACATCATGATCCTTTGACTTGCTAGTCCTAAGCTATAGATCCTAGGAAGGTGTTGTGGTTTAACCCTGGACTGCAGCTCAGCTCCACATAGCCACTTGCTCACCCCACACCCACTGGAACTGGAAGGGTAGAAGTGATAAGATGGGTTGAGATAAAGACAATTTAATAATTAAAAAAAAGACAGGGAAAAAACAACCAAACCCAAGAAAAACAAGTGATGCAACAAAAACAATTGCTCACCACCAACCTACCGATGCTCAGTCCCTGAGCAACAGCAGCCCCAGCAAACTTCCACCCAGTTTTTATTGCTCAGCATGATGTGTTACGGTCTGGGATATCCCTGGGGTCAGTTGGGGTCAGCTGTCCCAGCTGTATCCCCTCCCAATTTCTTGTGCACCCCCAGCCTCCTCGCTGGTGGGGTGGGGTGAGAAGCAGAAAAGGCCTTGGCTCTGTGTAAGCACTGCTCAGCAGTAATGAAAACATCCCTGTGCTATCAACACTGTTTTCAGCACAAATCCAAAACATAGCCCCATACTAACTACTGTGAAGAAAATTAACTCTATCCCAGCCAAAACCAGTACAGAAGGGTGCAACATATTATTAAATTTTAATTTAATTTTAATAGCAGCTTTAGGGACTTCTGTTACCCATGGATAACCAGGAATTATT